TTGTTCATTTATATAATTATAAGGCTGGATAAATGACCTAAAATTGTGCACCCGTGCATCGCACGGGCTCTGTACTAGTTATCTTATTTATTAGGCTACAATTAATATAATCACATAAGATTACATGTAATTTAATATATTTGATAAAATTGTACTTTTTATACGAATTATTAGATTAAAAAGTTCTAGATTTTTTTTCAATGTTTGATAAAATATTAATTAACTAAGTCATTTTCATAATCACTGAATGCATATATGGTACCACCATTATAGGGTTCATTTTGCAGCAGTAATTGGCTTCACATAGCTAATGTTATTTCATTTCTTTTCTCTGGCCTAGCCTTTCCTTTTATCTATGACTTCACATTGTTTCGCTTCGTTTGTACCCTAAGGTGCATTTGCCATAGTTTCAGTATTACGACAAACTCGTGTCAAACATATATCGGATTTGGGCGCTCTAGCCAAAACGTGGGAACAGTTAGAAGTTTACACCCATTTTTTTTTATTTTTTTTAATATGAATTGTTTCAAATTTATGTATGGAAAACATACTACAAGTTTATCTTATGTTATTTTATACTTAATAAAATTGATTTAACTATATTTGTATATCCTATATTATATTATATTTAATTACAATTTTTTAATTAAATATTTACAATTCATAAATTCATTAATATTATTGTCGAGTCAACTTTTGTTCATATAATTTTTAAAAATATATTATTTTCATTGAATTGCTTATGTTGAATTGAGAAAAGTTATGTTTATTAATATATAGGGAGGATAAGATTTCTTATATTTATTATGTAGTATTTATTGAGTAATTGTGTTTACAATTTTTCTATTAGAATATATTAAACACGTGAATTTTTTAGTTCCTATAATTTTTTTTTTCAGAAATCACTAATTATTTTATCCCAATATTACCTATTAATTTACCAATTGAGTTACATTTCTTACATATTACATATTATATAATTAAAATATTTCTTATTTTATCTGTTCAATATGATACTTATATATTATATTAAAAAAAACTAATATAGTAAATAAAAAAGTTATTTAAAATTAGAATAATAAAGTTTTTTTTTTTTTTCTAATCTACATGTATAAATGTACAAATAACTATTGTCTATCACCTCAAATTTACACATAAAATTAATAAGAACAAAAAACTAACAATCGTTTAACAACTCAGTTCGATTACATCGATAAGTATATTTTTAGAAGGTTTATATTCAATTATATTAATTATATTGTTTTTGTTTATTAGTTTGTTTTATACTTATTAGTACGTGTCACAACTTAGTTATTATTCATATTATTTCTTATATTTAATATGTTTTTAAACCTTTATCTTGTTCTTTCACATGTTCTTAACTGTAGATTTGTCAAAAAAGATATAATATAAAATATAGAATTTTTTCGATCATCTGCCTCATTATATATCAAATATTTGTATCTCCTATATTATATTATATTTAATTATATTTTTTAATTAATATTTTAATTAAATATTTACAATTCATAAATTCATTAATAATATTGTCGAGTTAACTTTTGTTCATAAAATTTTTAAAGATATATTATTTTTATTGATTTGCTTATGTTGAATTGAGAAAAGTTATGTTTTTTAATTACATATAGGGAGGATATAAGATTTCTTATATTTTTTTATGTAGTATTTGTTGAGTAATTGTGTTTACAATTTTTCTATTAAAAATATATTAAACACGTGAACTTTTTAGTTCCTATAATTTTTTTTATAAATCACTCATTATTTTATCCCAAGATTACCTATTAATTTACCAATTGAGTTACAATTCTTATATATTAAATATTATATAATTAAAATATTTCTTGTTTTATCTGTTCAATATGATACTTATATATTATATTAAAAAAACTAATATAGTAAATAAAAAAGTTATTTAAAATTAGAATAATAAAGATTTTTTTTTTCTAATCTACATGTATAAATGTACAAATAACTATTGTCTATCACCTCAAATTTACACATAAAATAAATAAGAATAAAAAACTAACAATCGTTTAACAACTCAGTTCGATTACATCGATAAGTATATTTTTAGAAGGTTTATATATAGATATATTAATTATATTATTTTTGTTTATTAGTTTATTTTATATTTACTAGTACGTGTCACAAATTAGTTATTATTCATATAATTTCTTATATTTAATATTTTTTTAAAAACTTTATCTTGTTCTTTCACATATTCTTAACTGTAGATTTGTCAAAAAAGACATAATATAAAGTATAATTTTTTCGATCATCTCCTCATTATATCTCAAATATTTGTATATTTTATATTATATTATATATAATTACAATTTTTTAATTAATATTTTAATTAAATTTTTACAATTCATAAATTCATTAATAATATTGTCGAGTCAACTTTTGTTCATAAATTTGTTAAAAATATATTATTTTCATTGATTTGCTTATGTTGAATTGAGAAAAATTATGTTTTTTTTTTTAAATATATATAGGGAGGATATAAGATATGATGACATTAGTATATTACCAATTTGCCATTAAAAATATGTGAAAGTAAGAGTTTTTTAGGTAGTTCATTTTTTAATTAAAAATAAAAATAAAATATAATGTGTATTAGTGTATTACTAATTTGTTATTAAATTTATGTCAAAGTAAGAGTTTTTTAGGCATTATGAATTTTTACAAAAACACTCTTCCTTTTAAAGTAGTATAGATATAGATAGATAGATATAGATATATATATAGATATAGATAGATGATATTTTGGTATGAGAAATATTTCACGGTGTAGTTCAGACTCCAGCCAACATTCTTTTTTACCATGATAGACACAAAACAATACACGCACTAAAAGGTGAAACCACACACAAAGAGCAGCGCATGGTTTCGAAGAGCACAAATCCACCGGAGGGCTTCTACTTGGATCCGACGGGCATGGCGTTGCCAAGCCTCGGCTCGTTTTCCTCACCGGCGGCTGGCAATACGACGTCGCAGGCAGAAGACCCGAGCAAGAAGATCCGGAAACCGTACACTATCACCAAATCACGCGAGAGCTGGACCGAGCCGGAGCACGACAAGTTTCTCGAAGCGCTGCAGCTGTAAGTGGAGACATTTGAGTTCGGAAGTTGTTTTGGACTGAGGAAATTAGGGTTTTGGTGCGGTGTCAGAATGTGGGATTGAGGCTGAGTTTATACTGGTTGGGCGGGTTTAGTTTTAGGGATTATTTGGTGATTGAAGAGGCCGTGAGGAGCTGAAGTTAATGCTTATTTTTATTTTTATTTTTATTTTTGAAATTGTTTTGAATTCAGATTGATTGACGTAGAAGTTAGAAATGACGAAAGTTGAATGAAGGGTTTTGTCAATTGGATAGAATTTATAAAATTTAGCTTCTGTCTGTGTGTTTCTTTTGAAACTCAAATTTGATGTAGTTGTTGAATTTGTAATTGATTGAAAGATTTTAGTCTGTTATGATTCTCAGCTGCAGTCAAAATATTGTTTACAGGCTGCAGAAAGGGGAAAAAAATGTGCTCTATGTGGTGATTTATTTATGTTCTTTATGTAGATTTGATCGTGATTGGAAGAAGATTGAAGCATTTGTTGGTTCAAAGACTGTTATTCAGGTAACTATCTTTTGCACATTCATTTATTCTGGTGGAGTTCGTATGCTATCTCAAGCCACACGTGATTGTTGTTCGATCTATATTTGAATATAAACATTTTCTCTGTCGCTAGTGACGTGAGATAATCTATTTTCTTTTTCGATTGTGATATGAGCATACTACACACTATTCTTGTTGTATAACGATACACATTTATTAATTTTTTCCAGATACGCAGCCATGCACAGAAGTATTTTCTTAAAGCACAAAAGAGTGGGACAAATGAACATCTACCTCCACCTCGCCCGAAAAGAAAAGCTGCTCATCCTTACCCTCAGAAAGCTACCAAAATTGGTAAAAGCACATTATATTTATTGATGCTGTTTGAAAGCAGCCAATTATTTAAAACTAATGTGTACTGTATTTTGTTATAACTTGAAGCCCCTGTTGCACCTCAAGATTTGTCGCAATTCCAAGCACCCCTTGCTGTTGCTGATACTGGATATGTTATGAGGCCTGATCATTCAGTACCACTCAAGAATCATGATTCTGCATCGGTACCTGCCCCGACAGACAAACCATTGTCTAGTACCTTTTCACATGTGACCAGAGGTTCGCTTATTTATGTCAATTGTGAAATCCACATTATTCTATCATATTTCCAAGAAACTTTGCACTGTCAATTTGAAAGTTGCCTTTTTTTTGTTGCGTTGTCAGTTGAGGACAGACGTGGACAAGTTGAGGACAGATGGGGACAGTGGATGCCTAATATTAACCCTTGTGGTAGCAATGAAAGCACGCCAAGGTTGAGGCCCACAGGTGAGAAAATATTGTTTCAACACATGTTTGTACTAGTCTTTTGACTTTTTGCCAGTAACAAAAATTAATCAGTCTAGAAATTGTGCAAAGCCAGGAGTACTGTAATGCCCTAGATTTCTTATTATGCTTGAACCAAAAACAACTGATGGCTGTGGAAAATCTCCATGTCGGTGGTACTTTGGTAATTAGATATGTGTTTGCTTAGGTCCTATCATCTGTTGCTCATGATCTATTCTAGATTGCTTGCATTACAAGATGTGTTTGTAGGTCTGCGTAATTTCTCTTCAACCTGCTTTTCTTGCTGTAATGTAATTTGTACTTATGTTAATGTAATGGTTTGTCGCGATTTGTGCACTTTTCTCTGCCTTCTGGTAGTTCTGTTGGCCTGTATAAAAAGTTTTTTGTTCTGTAATATGATCTAAGTTGTTCCACCCTCTCTGTTGTGGTCATGGGATACCACCCGATTACTCTTTAATTCTTTTAATGCAGTTCTTCCTGACTTCACTCAAGTATACAGTTTCATAGGGAGCGTTTTTGATCCAAATGAGATGGGCCATTTGCAGAAATTGAAGTTGATGGATCCGATAGATATTGAGACGGTATTTTCCTTGGTTTCATTCCTTAGACGATCTAATTTTGTCATTGCCTGAAACTGTCACCTTTCTAGTGAACAAAGAAACTGTCACCTTTTTAGTGAACACAAATTTACTCTTAAATATGGCGATCCTGGTGGTGGTGCCTGATGTTGAAGTTTATTTCATGCTCTTTCTAGGTTCGTATTCTTCTGAATCTCAGATAGCATTGCCAACTTGTGCTGAGACAAATTTCAGTATTTAAGACTAGTTACCAATTGTCCTGGCTTATGGAACATACTTGCTTCTCTTTACTTGGACTTTTAGCCATGTCCACCCTGAGTAGAACTTTTCATCCTTCCTTTTCTTGCACCTTCAAGCAAATGGTTTGCACTCTTTTCGCAACATTTTGTGAGGTAGTGTTATTCTGTATTTTACCTTTTTTCCTCTGTTCGTAACAAATAGTACATTTTTCACACAGCTTATGGGGAGGCTGTCAACAATCTACATCTTTGAGAGCTATTTTATTAGATATTTTTCCTCACTGTTATATGCAATTCTATCTTTTAAAGTCAAGAAGCAGAAAAAGGAAAGGAATATGGTACTTAGACTGTGCATCTGCATAAAAAAATGTTTATATGAAGCCAAAAAAAGCAAATTGATTTCTGATGGATTTTGTGTGGGCACTTTGAACACATATCAGCATGACGAGTCAGTAGTTGCTTTCCTGTCCCTCTTTACTCTCTCTCTCTCTCTCTCTCTCTCTCTCTCTCTCTCTCTCTCTCTCTCTCTTTATACACACACACACACCATATATATTTATATATGATTTTGGTCTAGGACAATTAGGATCAAGTATCTTAGTCTGTGCTTTGGCATCTTACGATCTCCTTTTTATCACAATATGCTTTATTGAACAGGTGTTGTTACTGATGAGAAATCTTTCAATCAACTTGGCTAGCCCTGATTTTGAGGATCATGTAAGTCCTAAATTTTTATGCTTTGAAGTGCCATTTGAGTGACGAACTTACCAAGGAACTGATTCTTCCTTCTCATATTTTACCCCTTTTTTTCCCTGTTGAGTTGAGTCTGCAGTTAATTGTGGGATAGTGGTCAATTTGCTTGGTTATTTGTGAATACTTACCTGTGCTAATACTGATTTGTATCATGTTTCAGTGATAATGATAGCAATTGTTAAACTGTATATATGTCATTCTCGTGGTCATATTAGATCCTTCATGAAGTTCCGATATAGCGTATTAATGACTAACTTTGATATCATAATCCCAATATATTTATTGAAATAAATTTGATAAATTTAGTGTTTAAAATTAGGTACTAGTTTGGTAGAGTTTTCTTCCCCTCTACTTGCATAAAGATGCTATAGATGAATACTCGCTAAATTCGAAATTCTAACATACGACTCTTGCAGCGAAGTATACTTTCATCCTATGAGATTGAACCCGAGAAGGATAATGCTCTTGGTGTAACTGATCCTGTTCTTGTTAGTCATTCTGGGGAAGCAACTTAATATAGGCATGTTTTCCATTCTTTTTGATGATTTAAGTGCAACTTTAGTGCTTTCAATAGTTTTAGCATGGAATTGGTGGTCTGAAAGAGTTTCCACTTTGGTTTAATTGCAGGGCCCGAGCAAACTTCGGGTATTGTCCCTACAGGAAATTGTCCGAATCCTGCATGGTATGTAGCTTGTACATATTCACTGGACAGAATAAATGTGAGAGAGAATTGTATTGTGGGAATGTGAATTCTAGAAATTTGTGTCTGTAAACGCAAATTTTGATTCTCTTGTGCAAGCTTCTCTAAAAAGATGCCTGCTTCTTGATTAATTTGTAGTAATCTGTAGAAACATATAACCGCGTCATGTACTATCAATAAACATTCCACTATAATAAATTATACGTAGGATTTAGTGAACCGTTGTGATTCTTGTTGGCGTTTGTGAATTAGTATTGAGTTGATCTTTCATCATTAGTGATACCATGTTTGATTGTCTCTTCCTTATTAATAAGTGAACAACGAGTTATGCATTGGGCTTGTGATCGCATTTTCTTGAAGCCAATTTTGAGACTTAGTGTCTGCAGTCTGCTTATGTGGACTATAAGGCAGGTTTCACGGCTGCGAATTGAGGATAACCAGAAGTAACAAAGTTGGAGCAAAGAAGATAACTAAAGAAGAACACAAGAAAGTACATATAATTGGAGGATTTCATCAAAGGGGTTCGATTTGATTGGAAACTGCGTTGGCAATATACTGGACTCTGTTTTCCTTTTTTTTTTTTTTTTTTTTTNTTTTTTTTGTTCACTGTGTTTTCTAATAAATTGTTCATGAACTTTGTGAGTCGGGTGGCTTTTGCGATGAGTTATAACTCATAAAGTGCTTGAATAGAATGTTCTCTTACAGTCATGGGCACTATCAAGTTCACTCTAGAAAGCTCATCAACAATCGTAGTAAAAGTTTCTGTTATGGAAGGGTATATGATGTCAAGATAACAAATCGTTGCATGATTAGACAATACAAGGGTTTTCTTTTAACGTGGTATAATGCACAGTTGCACACACATATTCATGTTGATATGTGTTGATCTAACAGTGAAAACCTAGCAGTAAGGTCGAATTTGTTGGGAAACTTGGGTATCAACTATTAAGGATACCAATCACAGTCAATGAGGCAAAATTTTCAGCCATCACCTCGGGAAACTTGGTACCAACTATTAAGGACACCAATCATAGACAATGAGGCAAAATTTTCAGCCATCACCTCTATATACATCGTGTAATATTTGAACCGAACAAAGAATGCACCACAAATAGTCACCAATTTCTGGTAGCTATTAGCCTGTTACCATACACATAGACCATTTAATCACGCGGCAAAACATATTAGACAAATATTTGACATGTAAGTAAGTAAACATATCAGACGAATATTTGACATGTAAGTAATTCACAGTAACGACCATTTCTACAATCCTACTGTTCGCCAATCTAAGCCAGTTGCACTTGAGATATTGTTCTGAGTTACCATACTAAACTAAAAGGCGTTTCAATCCGTGTTACTGTATATGCATATTTGTTAAGAAGCAAGAGACCATATGTATATGTACACGCTTGCTTGGGGTTGAAATTACCATTCAAAGCTAGATTTTACTCCCAATAAAATGACAATTCACCCAAATCTTGGAAAAGTTCAGCCACAGGGAGAAAAAAAATCTTCAGTGTTGAGCATGCCAGAAGCTAGATGCTTGTTTACCCACAAAACCTCCTACATCAGTAAAAAAACAGGAATTAGGACATCTCTTCAAAACTCGTTCTATAATTAACGCAAAATGTTTTCGCAAACTTGAAGCATCTGTGAATGATGGATTGCGGTTTGGCACATACTCTAAGATATGTTGTACTAGGCCAGAGCATCATAATTTTATTACATGGGAAAGAAAATATAACATAGCAGAGGGGACCAAAATAAGATATGTGATTCTACATTTTGAATTCCTGATGGTAAGAAATCGTGTTTCTGAACAAAAATTATAGTTTGTACTTATACACGTGCCTCCAAATTTAATGTTCTGTTGATATCCTTAGTACTAGGACAAAGAGGAGGACAAGTGCAAGAAACTCAATAAGAGACTGGAAAATCTGAACAAGTGAGTGTGGTTTCCAATTACCTGCATTCGGTTTTCCATAGCCTAGATAGGTTGTTTGCTGTGGATTCATCTGCAAGTCAACTGGAAGCTGAGTTTGTTGTCTTGGGCAGATATTTGGCTGCTGGAACATTGAATACTGGACAAAGGAGTCGTTAGGTCTTGCATTGTTGAAGCAAGATTGGTGGAGAAAATTGAAACAGGTAAAGTGGTTTGTTGCAGGTATGTAAGGCATGTAGTTTGATTTTGTTGGGAAATTCACGTAGTTGTTTCCTGGGTGGGAACATGGCTGAAAATGGGTTTTCTCATTCAGACATCCCGAGCTATTTCCAATTTCAGCTTCCACATTTGATGTCATCTTACTGGTTTCCACAATGTCCCGATCGAGTGGCATGTTAAGACCTAGCATATCCTCAACTGAAATTAAGCTGTTTTCATCTGGCCAAATGATATCATCTTCTGAGCTGGAGGCATCATACTCATTCTCCGACATGTTGAAGTTCAAAGCTTTAGGTGTTACCGAGTCATCTCTTGAGATCAAGCTATCTTCATCGGGCAAACAGACCACATTATCTGAATCGGGGGTGGGTGTAGGTCTGAGCCCAGCCTCTTGCTGCAGCTGGAGGCTTTCTAATATGTCGGCCCAGAAATCTTCGAATGTGGGCTGGCTATCATCGATTATCTGCAACTCAAGCTTGTCATAGGCACTGTATGGCTCACTTGCTTCTTTATTCCTACTAGAAGAGGATTCACATTCATGAAGTTGTTTTATCGAGTCATCAAGTCTTTCGTGAGGAGAAACGACTTGAATCCCTGTGGCACTATCTGTCGAACTTTGCCAATCAGATCCTTCTGCTGAAAATGAAGAACTTGCAGAGGATTCGACTCCAACTTGAGAAGAAGAATCCAAGGGCCGAGGGATTTTCTATATTGAAGATGAATATTCAGTTAGGCCTGATCACTTGGGATATTTTAGTGAAACAAACATTGAAGGCCTTAATAATTGTCATATGATGCATTTCCATTGTGCTTTTCAGAGCCATTTTCCTTCTACTTGATACCACAACTAGAAAACTGATATTTCTTATGAAATTGCACGTATAATAAATATAACAGCAATCACAGTATAGGACAAGTTTCTACAGAGGGATATAGAGGCTATTTGCAAGATGAATGGCCTCATTAAGCAGTATAATGTACCTTAACTGGCACCATCTCTACTGATTTGGATAGCACAGGTTCAATTCGTATTTAAAGTTTATTTTACATTAGTTGATCCCAACTTTCAGACAATAATACCATATGAGTAATGCCATGAAAGCTAAAGTTATTTTTATCGAAAGAAAATTGATTTGTTCCAGCATTGTCCTTTCGAATAAAAAAAGTGCTGCCACTAACAGTAAGAGAAATTTATAAATCTCCTTTCTCAGACTTCAGCAAGATTTGAAAAGACTATGCAAATGTTATTTTCATATCTCAGAGCCAAAGAAAACATTTTGTGATGACACTTTCTGCACTTTTTCCCCAAGGTTGGGGTACAAGTCAACTCTCTTTCAGTTAGTTGCAAGATAAAGCTTAAATGTGGCTAATTGGTGAACACTCAGCATGCATTAATAATTAGCATGTCGTGAAATTCCAAAACTTACCTTGCTACAATGTGGAGGGCGATATGGGTTTTTACTCTTTTTTAGTTGGAAGGAACCACTATCTGGGGTCTTTTGATCAAAAACCTCAGTATTGTACCTACATTCCTGAGGTAAATGCTGCCACACAACAGTACTTTCTTCTGCATTGAAATTTGAACATTTGTTAATATGAAATCATGAAACTCGATGAATTCGTGGAGTTATCAGGAAACACCTGAATTGTAAATTTTAGTTAGATGAACTGCAAAATGATTCCCGCTAATTGATATATAACTAAATCTCACACGCAGAAGCACACCCTTCTACCTGATCTCCAATTTCCTTGACAATGACTCTCCTTAATTGGCATCACCAAATAGTTGTTCCATCTTGCCCTGTGTTGTAAGCCCGTATACGGCGATGTGCCCAAAAGAGATGAATTGCCTGTAATCCATTTGCTCTCCAACGTACTACCAGCTCCTCCATTAAGTTCACTGATTTGATAGGTCACCGTCACCATCTCAATATCCACAGAATAAATTTTGACAAATTACACTATCTCAGTGCAATCTCTATGGTAATCATCAACCAAATCATAGTGAACTTACACGAAAATCTATTAAAAGTATAACAAACCGCGTTGTAGTCGAAGTTCACATAAGCTCATATCAAGCTCAAAAAATAACGTTCAAATGCTATGTAAATAAATTTATAGGTTAATTGCCTAATGATCGACGATGATACGCACGATTCAGGAAGGTAGCAACTCTAGAATCTTTTCAATGTAGAAATGTTAGATACCTCAGAATTAACAGGTCGAAATCTCCAGGTAGTTCGCGACAAGCCTCGGCTTCGATAAATTCCAAAAGCAAAGCTCTCGTGTAAGTAATCTTCGATCCATTTCCGCATCTGCAGATGAAACAAAACAAATTCCTTACTAAAGAATGAACACAGGTTCAACAAAATGATTGTCAACAACACTTGCTTTCTACAAGCTGATAAAAAAACAGATAAACATGACAACATCTACATTTAATTAATTAAACACCACGAAACAACAAAATCGAACAAAGAACAACAAACAAAATCCGTAAACTTACTCAGGCAACTCGCCTTTCGCTCCTTCCAATTCCAGCTTCTCCTCCAAGCTCCGCCGCTCAACTTTTCCAGTCATTTCACGCCGCTCATCATCATTCTGCTTCACGAAAAACAAAATGCGCAGATATTAAACCCTAGCAACCGAAACGTTTCACAAAAAAATCAGGATTAGAAGCTGAACGCGAAGATAAAACTAAAACCCAACTTCGATCGGAAAACTCATCTCTCGAAACGCGGCGAGAGCGAGAACCGCAGAGTTGCTCTTGTTCTTATTTTCGGAGAGAGGAGAGAGAAAAAGCTACGGAGGAGATGGAGAGTACCATGGCTGAAAACGGAAAGCTGGCAGCTCACTGACGAGGAAACAGAGAGAGGGGGAAAAAAACAAAGGGAAAAATGCATGCTCTGTGCTCTCCAAATGTGAAAGCAAAAAAAAA